GGCCAAGCAGGCGGTGACAGCAATCAGGATGCCAAGCGGTGCAGGGCGGTGACGGCTGTCATCGTTACAGGAGACCGAGCTCTCCTCCCACACCTCCCATCTCAGCTTCCTGTATCAGGGTGGTGAGTGCAGGAGAGTGCTGTAATCTGACACAAAAGGCAGAGCTCTTCTTCCCCACCGCCCTCTCAGCCTCATGTGGCAACCGATTCAGGATGGGGAGCCGAGTACAAGCACTCAGCAATCAACTGGACATAGTGTGCTTACTATGTCCCAGTTATGAATGAATGGGAAGTGCTCTACATCACTTCCGGTTTATTCATGATTGTGGTCATAGTAACTTACACTATATCCACAATGTATGAATGGACAGGAGCACTCAGTATAGAGGATTCCTGTTCATTCATAACAGGGGCAGCAGAAAAAGAGATTGAGGACTTCATTCTCTTTTTCTATTTTAAAAGGGACATTTCCCCAGACCCCCGAAGATTAAAGTAAAAAAATAAGTAAAAATAGAATAAAGAAATGTGAAACATTTTTGAAAAAACGTCAGTTTCGGTATCAGTTTGGCTTGATTTTAATTTTCGGTCTCAAAATTCTATTTCGGTGCATCCCTATTGATAACATGATTGACATCAGGTAGAGATCCTTTATATGTATAGCTGAAAAAAAATATTTAAGAGGCTATACATCACCTTTAGTATAGCCCACATGGAGACAATAGTGGATATTTGACTAATGACAGGCAGCTCTTCTAACTGTGACAGCTTCTCATGAAGCAGTATAAGCCCTGGAGCAGGTTTAACTTGCACTCCGCTGCATACACCAGCCGTTTCCTGGCTAATCAGCTGCTGACATGGAAGAAACATTCTACGGTACTGAATACAGACATAACCTGTAGCTTTACGTATGTTTATTATGAGGTTATGTGACATGTGCAGGAAGCACATCCCATACATGTCATCTGACATATGTCATGTATGCCCTCTGGTACACGCAAAGGATGCTAGGCTGAATCGGACTTTGATTACATTCTCAATGGTTCTACATGTTAATATAACATGATGGAACATGAAAACTGGGAGTTGATACATAGCTATACAGGGAAATATACACCAGTAAAAGACCATTATTTGCCTCTGGTAAGCCTAATAAAGCTCACGTAGATGAATCAGAAATCCTTTATCCCACAGGTGCTCATTTCCAATCCTTGAGACCCATCAGGGCTTTTTTTTCTCTAAGATCAAGTAAGGGCACAGCTACCTTAATTAGTTAAAGAACACAAGATTTATAGCTGGTACAAACTGTTAGGGGCCATCTCACACTAGCAATCCTGTGTTTGGTGCCAGCTCGCCAGTAGCATGACAACTAAGAGAGCAGACAGAATATTCACCTGCTCTTACCGCATTGATCCCCTGCTGGATGAACTAGAGAAGTGTTGCTGCGTCGCTGCTCCCTCAGTGGTGAGCAAATACAGCATATTCTCCAGCAAGAGAGCAGTGCATGAAGCCAGCAGCAACAGAGGCCCTAATGTGACCTGGTCCTTACTAGAGAATTGTAGCTAGCCATACAATTCCCCAGTGCACATTGTCAACAGATTGTAGCTACACATTATAATGGGAAGCAAGTCAAAACTTGGCCCCATTGTGTTTTGCCCTTAGGAATAAGGCCCTAAGAGCAGACCACTCCCGTCATTCTGTAGGTCATATGTTTCATAGTGCCTACTCCAGAAGCGGGGAAAACTGGGGGGTGGAAAGTAAAACATGACCAGGAATTGGCCTGGAATGACCTTTCCATTTGCTCTATTCTTAAAATCGACAAAGCATTCAATACAGCACGTCAGCATTACCAGATTGCATTACTATTATTTACAATGCAATTAATTTTGCTACTGTCCAGTCATCGCTCAGTTACTAAAATCACTCATGTAACTGATTGCATTACCGCACGTGTCCCATGTAAATCAGTTAATAGTTGTTGTTATTAGTTGCACAAGTGCTCAACTAAACAAATGTGTGCATGTCTGTTCCTGCCCTTAGTTTTCAGAATATATAAACTGGGCCCTATGTATGAAAAGTGATTGAAGGGTAAAGCATTAATGGTGCAACAAGTTCAAAACAGCTGGAATATGGTTGGTTCCTGTGGGGTACACAGACTGTTACCTTTTGGGCCCTTGCATATCTAAAACTTTTTTTTATTATGCTGGAAATTTCAGCTGATTGCTATTTTTACATTTGCATTTTGAGCAGACATTAAATACCAGTAAATAAGTCTGCATCTGCGTTCTGTAGCTCTCCTAGATAACCTGGAATGTTAATGCCTGTAGACAGTGTAGGATTAGTGCCAGACGCTGTGTTCTGCCTTGTACAGATGTTAAATCTAGAGGGTGAAAAAATCCTCTTTTTACTCAGACTTCCAGATCTTGCTCACAAAGGGGGATTTGATCTGCTTCAAGGTCAGGAGATGTAAGATATATGTAAATCAGCCTCAAATCAAGCTGACAGTATGTAATCTGCACGTCTTGCGCTGGGGAGCCAAAAATACCGTTTACAATTAACAGATAAGTAATGAAATCTGGAGAGGAATAATATCAGCATGAGACCTGCAAATAGCACTCCCTACTGAAGCTTGCAGGGGATGTTAACGCTGTCCAACCATTAGGGAGTCCATGCATTCACTTGAGACCCTCTAAAGGTCTTTGGTGTAACCAGTCATGCACAGGCATCAGAGTATACCAGATTCTTTTTGCTGTTTCATTGTCTCTGGTATCTGTATTAAAGGAGAACTATGAGGTGAGTGCTTTTCACTCACCTCATACCGTGTTTCCCCGAAAATAAGACACTGTCTTATATTTTCTTTTGGCTCAAAAAAACACACTAGGTCTTATTTTCGGGGTAGGTCTTATTTGTTTTTTTTATGTACAACAATCCACACTTATTCATGCACAACAGTCTACATGTATTCATGTACAAAAATATGGTGATCAGGACAATCAGGGGTGCCGTACCTTTCCAAGAGCAATTTGGTAACCAATCGCTGGCCAGAATGAGCGAAGCACACTTTCACTATCGATTCCTCACAGGCGGAGTGCATTTGGTATCACTCTGCCTGTGACAGGAGCCGGCACTATAGAGGAAGCATCGCGCTTATGCGGCTTTGCTCCCTCCGCTGCCCCCTCGCTTCCTCCAGCCCTGGCTTTGTTGGCACCGCTGATTCTCTACTGCGGCTCTTCAGGTTTCCCCTTTTGCCACCACCGGCCCTGGGAATGGTCACAACTAGGTCTTATTTTAGGGGTAGGTCTTATATTTTAGCAATTCCCAAAAATAGTACTAGGTCTTATTTTCGGGGAAACAGGTTAGTTCTAGCCGACCTGTGACAATGAGACTGTCACAGGTCGGCTCAGTAGATCGGGAGGTGAGCGAACACATACCGGGTTCGCTCACCTCTCGATCCTGTCACGGCTCTTTGCCGTGACAGGGGGAGGGGCTGGATTCCCCTCTCCCAGCTCCGATCTGCCAGCGCTGACTGGTGGAACGGACGGGGGAGGGTACAGCTGGCTCTGCCTCTAGATAGGCAGAGCCAGCTGTCACTCACGCAGCTGGGCGGATCCCGTCATCTAAGTCGGGATCTGCTGAGGCGTCTCAGTATACCGCGGTATACTGAGCTTAGGGTAACGGGAGGACGCTAGTTTGTGTCCTCCCGTTACCCTAAGGAGAACTATGGGAAAAAACACTGACCCCATAGTTCTCCTTTAAAGAAACAAATATCCCATTTCTAATATAGCCTGAACTGCAGTGTACAAATGCTATCAACCTTTTCATGAGTATTTAAAATAATACGAGCCAACAACAAGTCAGCTTTATACCAGTAAATGTGATATACAGTATATCTGCCTAGGGGATTTTAGGTTCAAGCAGACTTGTAAAAAGGTGAGCATATGTCTCTTGGGCCCACTTCCGACCAAGGACACTATATGCTTTCATTTTGTATGATCTCCCTGTTTCCAACCAAACTGACCTTACAGGAGACTATGAGCTCCTTCAGAGCAGGAACTGATGTAAGTGGTTCAGTATTCTTTGTAAAACACAGCAAGGTTTCAGCACTGTATAAATAACACACCAACAGGATATGTTGATGAAGACTTTTGTTCTGTGCAAAAGGTAGTATTAAAGACTTCAAGGTTTACAGTATTGCTAATCCTTTTTTTCTTCGTCTTTATTCTTACCTTTAAAGTATAATAACTGCATTTTCAATTATGGTAAAATGGCCCACCAGACTGTATAGCGCATAACCCGGTGCACATTGTTTTGCAAATCTATGCTATCCTAAAAATACTTGGATGGTTCGACCATAACCCAACCCTGTGCCCCACTTTTGGCCACTATATGGGATGGCCAGCTTCACTGTCCATTAGGGAGGTGGGTAAGGTTACCATAAGAAGTATGATAATACAGCGTGCCTTGTTTTCAAAATAATGTTTTGCCTACTGTACAATCAACCAGTTTACCAATGTTGGGGACACCACAGACTTTCTTTAAATTTAACCTATGAAGGACAAAGCAACAAGTTTGCTTAACTGACACCAGCTGCACAAACTCTTTCCCTTCGCACCCCTCCCACTCTATTTTGCCTCTAAGAGCATAGAGAAACACATGGCACCCAGCGTTGTGGGCAGAGTAAAATTAGTCTTCATTTAGTGTTCAGTTCTTTTCCTGTTTGCTTGTTTATTTGTCATTGCACAAATCTATAAAAGGCAGACTTGAAAACGAATTGAAAACAGAATCTGTGCTATTAATGAAATGAATTAAATTTATTGATAAACCATGTTTTTTGGGGCGTTTTTTTCTTGTTTTTTTCCTTGTTTTTCTTTTTGCTTGTGTATGATAATCATTGCAAATCTTTCTCATACATCATGGTATCACAGGAATGTGTATAATTGATGTATGTCACTGTGGAGCATCTAATCAGCCATTTAATTGAATGCCTTGATACTTCTTTCACAGGGGCTGTTCCCAAGTAGGAGTCATCAAGGCGCTGATTGAGAGTGGCATTCCTATTGACATGGTTGGAGGGACATCTATTGGAGCCTTTATGGGAGCTCTGTATGCAGAGGAGCGCGGCTTCAACCGTACGAAGATTAGGGCCCGGGAATGGTGTATGGTGAGTAGATCCTTTAGTGTCCACTTGTGGAAAAAAATGTTTTCGGTTAAATTCACTCCAGACCACATTTTCATTTGGGAGTTAAACATTGAGACACATACAGGGGGCACGCTGGCCTCATTAGCACTTGAGTTTTTCAAGCAAGCATTGTTGTAGTGTACCAGTGTACACAACTACCTTTTATCAGTAGTCTGGGGACCCTGGAACACCTGTTTGCAATGCTGGAACACTCACTAGAGGCCCCTTGCTGCCTCTCACATACAAAAGCTTGATGCAAAAAAGACCAGTATTATAAGAGATCCTTTACCTCAGACCTAAAGTTTGGCTGCCTAAAATGGATTCACTAGCACAATTTAATGTGGTAAAGCACTATCCCAGACATGACAGTGCTTAAGCACCCTACATCTCTCAGCCTCAAATGAGCCTTTAGGGAGTTTGACATCATCAGAGCCATATTCCATCCACTCCTGCCACCTCTAATCACTGGATTACACCAATGGTTTAGGAACAGGAAGACAGGAAGTATGTCTCAAAGCAGTAGTTTTCAGTCAGCTCCCTAGACAATGGCTGGGCCTTTTTCAAATTGCTGAGGCTCAGACAATGTATTGTTGGATTCTTGGCAAAGGTGTGCCTGCACTCCAACTTTAATCAAAAATAGCAAAAATGTGGTCTATGGTACATTCCAAAGGCATTAGGGTCCCTAAATGGCAAACACAGTCACCATCTGTAAGGAAAGGTGACTATGTTTAGGAATACATGTAATGCTTGCTTTTGTTCCTTGTAGGGGATACTGGTCTATTTGCTGACCTGAAAAGTTGCTTAAAGAAGTGACATATGCCTTCTCTTACTGGTGATGACTTCCAAGATCTGGTCCCATATACCCATAAAGTGAAATCTCAGGTCATGTACCAGGATTGGGTCTTGTCAGCACTGGCTGTGAGAAATTTAGGTTCTTTACTTGTACACCTTTGCAGTGCAGTGATAACATTACCACATTGGCCACCAATAGTTTCCAATGTACCACCAGCAGTGGTAACTGTTGTCATAGGACCCTTTGTACTTGTGGAACTGGGCCTTGTGATACCAATCACATGTTTAAATTCCTGCACTGTCCACTATATGCAGGGTAGGATCAATAAACCTTTTACAGGTTCTTTTCAGCCAAATATTTACTGCTTCAATATAGAAGTACAATTCTATGTAGCACCATTCCATTAATTGTTCTAGTGCCCTAGACTTCTTGCATTCCCTTTTCTCTTGTTAAGCCTATTACCAGTTCAATTTAGATTCAAGCACTGTACAATTCATCTTCTCAGCCATGAATAGGTGGCATCTTAATTAGAGAAGCCATTATTATGTTGATCCCCTCTTGAAAAAGAACTGAGCTCAATAACACTCTAGCTGTCCCTCAGAATAATTCTTGCATCCCTATGTGGCCAGCGGACTATAAATGGATTTACTGCTCTTCTCAGAGGAAGCATTGTCTGGGAGGTTACTCTGTCTATAAATGTTTTTACAGGATTTACACACTTTTCACCCAACATTCACAAATGTTTCCAATTTAATCCAGATAGGAAAACGTGTAAATCTTGGGTGAAAGGTGTATGAATTGTTTAAAAAGATTTTGCAGAACAAATAGTTTCATGCTTAGGTCATGGGAAGGGCAGCTCCCAAAAATGACAGTAACCGGCTATAATTCCGAATCTGTTTGCAGCAGAAATGTCAGATAAATCCTGATGGCTCTGTGGGAGCGCTCTCTGACATAGCCTTAACTGGGTCACTTAGAAGTAATGGGATAGTTGTATGCTAAAACAGGATTTCTATCGTCACTTATTGCTGCCTTACATTATTAAAGCATAGTGTAACCGAATGTTAATGCAGCTGTAATAGAAGTCACCAAATGACGAGTCTGCTGAGAGGTGTGAGTCACTACTATGGACATCTGGCTAGCTGAGCAGGTTTGCATCTGTATAAAACATCGGACTGCTTATCTCTTGTGTGGAAATTAACTTTAAAATTATATTCATGTGTATTCAAATAAACAAGTGCTTATATCATTGTATTGCTGTTTGAGGTTGTACTCGTCATGAATGCTTCTGTGCCCTGATATGCATTTTAAGGTAGAATGCAAGACACCCCCTTGTCATACTGCACACTTGGAGGGTGATGACACTAAGGGATGTCCTTGAACTGGAGATAGTCCAGTGGAGGGCAACAAAACTAATTAGGGAAATGGAGGACCAGAGCTATGAGACAAGGCTACTGACCTTAAACATGTTTACACTGGAATTAAGGAGATTAAGGGGGGATATGATTTTCATGTACAAGATGTTCAATGGTGACAGCAACATTGGCAACAAACTGTTTGAGATTAACTCCATTACAAAGACTAGAGGCCACCACCTAAAGTTGGTGGAGAAAAAATTCCAGCACAATGGGCGAAGAGGGTTCTTTACAGTAAGAGCGGTTAAGGTCTGGAACTCACTGCCATCGGCAGTGATTTCAGCCAAGAGTGTAGATTTGTTCAAGAAACGTTTGGACAATTTCTTGAGGGACCGTAATATTCAGGGATACCAGTATCCCTAAGAATGAGATGATGCGTGGACCTATATGGGTTGGACTTGATGGACGTATGTCTTTATTCAACCCCAAATACTATGTAACTATACGGTCCGTGCAATCGTGCAACTTTCTTTTGCCCCTTTTTACCGTAAGATTTCCCATTGAACTACAATCAACATTGCATCTGGGTCTTTGCATTCAGAATATCCATTGAATTACAGTGAGCATCAACCACTGGTAAGGTCACATGTGCTCTCTGCCTCCTTTAGGACTTATTTCGATGGGCTTTGGGCTTGAGTCAATGGCATCAATTTGAGACACTTCGGAGATAATTCAGAATTCATTGACAGGGACATTTGACCTGTAGTTGACCTCCATTCTGATTTGCATTTGACTTGCTTCAAAGTGGTTTTGCATTCCCAGAGACTTGTATGGGAGTGCAAAACCCTCTTGAAGTGAACAGAATCTAACTGACACAGGCCAATAAGCTGCCTGAACAGCATCCACTTCTAGCCCCCAGTGTCTGAAAAATGTTTGCATGACAGCTCTGTGAACTATGAGCCTTAGTGCTTCAGAGTGTTGGTCCTCTCACTTGCAGCCTTATTTCTTGGGTGTAGGAGGTTTGGATGTACCTAATATACACCAGCCACATTTCAGGTAAGATAAAATATAATTTAATAATAACAATGGGGACACACATTTTTTCTTATTTTCTGTTGTATGAGATTTTTCAACAAAGTATTTTTTCAACGCTGATTTCAAATTGGGTTTCCTCTACATGCTCTAGTTTTCATGCAATTTGAAACTTGTTGTTTTTTTTTCAAAAAAGAGGACACCGTTGCTATTTACACTAGGGATAGCTTGAGAACTAGGTTTACATCTACCCTAACCTTAGACTAATGAGGCTAGGTTTTTTTTTTTTACAAACATCAATATTCTTTATCTTTTTTTCTTAATTTTGCATTATAGAGATTTATCTGATTTACTTGACAAAACAGTTCATGAAGGCATTTAGTACTGATGGGTTAACGTTTTCAACATATTGTATTTTGCGTTCCATAAGACGCACCGGACCATAGGACGCAGGGAGGTCCGGTGCGCCTTATGGAGCACTCGACAGACCGTAGCTTCTGTCACAGCTTCTGTGACAGAAGCTGCAGTTAGTGACCGCTGAGACAGGTGGCATTGTGATTACAGCGCCGTGGTCTCAGTGATCACACAGAGCAGACGAAGAACGTCCGTTCTTTGTCTGCTCTATGGTGATCTTGGTCACCGCCGCCGTCGCCGCTGCTCAGTTTTAATACAAGTGATCTAATCATATCACTTGTATTAAACGAGCAGTGGCTCCTACTGTACATTTAGCTCTGCTTTAGCAGGGCTAAATGTACAAAAAACTACTCGCCTGGCGCCGATTCGCTCCATAAGACGCAGGCACATTTTCCCCCTCCTTTTGGGGGGAAAAAAGTGTGCCTTATGGAGCGAAAAATACGGTAGTTTCTGCTCTTCCTGCTTTGTCTTTTGAGAAGATCAAAGCAGGTGTGTTCAATGGACTTCAAATTCATGCCCGTGTACTTGATGAGGAATTTGTCATGAAGATGAATGACAAGAAGGCTGCATGGCTGTCTTTTGTGGCAGCTATACAAAACTTTCTTGGTAACAAAAAGGCAGATAACTATGAGGTTCTCGTTACTAGAAAGCTGTTGGTGTTTCACGATCTTGGGTGCAACATGAGTGTCAAGCTCCATTTCCTGAATAGTCACCTTGATCAATTCCCTGAGAACCTTGGGGCTGTTAGTGATTAACAGGGAGAGCACTTCCATTAAGACCTCATGACGATGGAACAGCACTATCCGATGGGAAAAAAAAATTATGGCAGACTACTGCTTACAAGCGCAAATTCTTGCCTGAATAGGGCATATTTGAACTTTGCAGCCCATCTTTATCAGTTGTTCTGAATAACCTATCATCTTTGTCAACATATATGTTAAAGTAAAAAGCATTAGTGCATACTCATATTTGACTATAATCGATAAATGTTTCATATTTGACAAGTGGCGCTACATATTTTGCTTCACTCAATTGATTTTTTTCGCCTTTCAAAATTGAATGCATATTGTGATGCAACTACACATTTCTGTGAATACCTAAAGAATATATTTGCAAAGACGGTTGTTTAAGCCTAGTTTTAAGAGTGCATGACCATAAATTCCTCAGATAGACCATGCCATCATGTGAGAAGTGTCAGAATTTCACGAAAAATGAAAATGTTGAATTGCAAACTGGAGATTACAGAGAAAAACTACTTCAGATTTGAAATCAGCACACTCAAATTAGGTAAGAACAAGTCTTGTGATTGCATGAGTAGAGGACGGGATAGACTGATGTGAACATTAGGAGGAGCAGAGTTTTCGAGTGGCAAGGAGCAATGAGACGCATTTTTCCTCTGGTGTCTATATTGTATAAGGGCTGAATGAAGAAAGATCATGTCTATTACTCGTGACTACATGAGAAAATTTGAATTAACACAAAAACATTTTTTAGAATATTCTTTTGTATATTCAGTTGTATATTCAGAAATCGCAAAGTTTGTTAGACAAATTGGAAATTACTTTTTTTCACCAACTTTTTTAAATTGTTTAAAATTATTTTTTAAGTATGTTATATTTACGGGTTTTCTTTTTATTACTTTTCTGTTAGGGGCTTTGAGGAAAAATCAGGGGTCTAAACAGACCCCTGTAGTTAGTAAATATTTACTATCAACCCAGTCTTGAAAGGACAGTAAGCCTCTGTACTGAGCTGCTTCCTGCTCATTCATAAAGTGAGCAGATAGTTACTATGTCCCCATTATTAAATGAACAGGAAGTGATGTACACTGGGGACATAGTAATTACCATGTCTTCATTTATTTACAAACACAGAGTGATCAGTACTGATTATTTGGTGTTTGCTCAGTACCGCGAAGGATCGGTAAATATTTAACATTTACTGATTGTGAAGCTCCACCACCTTCCACTGAAGCTTTCCGCCCCGCTTGGCCTCCTGACAGCTTTCTCCTCCCCACTGGGAGCCGGCAGCTGCATCACCTCTGTGACCCCTCCAATCCCCACTGCCCCGCCGACACAGGCATGGGAGAGCAGCGGGGATCGGAAGGGACATAGAACGAACCTTGCAGCCAGCTCCAAGCGAGGAGTAGAGAAGCTGGGGACCACTGCATTTTCTACCATTTTTGTAATTTTGCTCTAAGTACTATTTTCGGCCCACATGTTTCGACGGCTGACATTTATGTGCATCCCTAGTATTCAGTTTTCTACATAGTCGTCAGATACCTGTATACCTTTTCCCAATGCTCATGGTAGAAGTGCATACTCTGTTTTCTCAATGTTGGTGCTGACACCATTCTCAACTTTTTCCTTGGATGGATAATGATGTTTACCAAAGTTTTACTTACAATTCAGAAAAAATATGGAAGTTGCAGGACTTCAAGTATAGACTGTGTGGTGTATGTAGAAGGATGGTGAGATTTAGCTTTTCAATTGCATCTTTTCTGCCATGAGTATCCAAGGAACCCATTGTGTACTAACCTTCTGATATCAAAGCATGGAAACAACATTCTTGTTGAATGCCCAATCTTTCAAAATTTTTTTGCTCAGTGATCTGCTGATTGCTAGTTCATTAATGGATTCCATGTGAAGCTTATGATATGCTTCACATAGAACGTCACACCTTTGGTACTCGCATATATCAAATACCGGGTATTCCTTCCGTGCAATCATCCTATATTTTGGTCCAGCAATGCAAAGTGCTCACATCAACACAGTCACTAACATAAACAGCTCGCATATATTGGTGAATTTTGATTGGAGCAACACCTTCTGGCATCCAGAACTGCAAATTCGAGGGTCCAGCGCAGGGTTCCATTTTATAGAGAGTATCAAAACAACCATCCACTGTAATTACTTGCTGCCAAGGTGATAGAGGAGAACCTACACAGTGTGCCAGTGCTTGTCATACAAATGTTCTGCCATCTGTTGATGAGATATGAAAGTGAAGGCATTCCTTTTCATTTAACCCTTGTATGTAGGCCAGTCTGATAGAAATACTGCAAGTGCATCCTGGAGGAGTCACGTTTGTTGAGTGTTATAGTGCCCACTGGTAAAAGATGATCTTTTCCTAATTCATCCTTTTATTGTCAGTTAGGACAATATTTATATATTTGCACGTACTCTCCGGACACCCCCGGCCAAACTAATTAGTGGATCTTGGGTGCACCGAGGTAAGCCAGTATCTAACTTCACTCAGTCCTTCAAATACATGAATACCTGGTCAATTTAGAACATGCAAGTTTTGAAGGCCAGATAATGCTGCATGCTTGGCCAATACAGTGGTACCTCGGTTCACGAACTTAATTCGTTCCACGATTCTGGTTGCTAACCGAATCAAACAGTGATCAGACCGCGATCTTGACTAGAGGAAGCCAGAACCATGTGTCTGAGCAGGGAAGATGGCTGCGGTTGTGTTCATCACCCGATGCGGAGTTCGCAAATGGAAGCAAACTTTTGCCGAACTTCCTGTTCGCGAACCGAATTTTTTAGGTACAGAATCGTTCGTGAACTAAGGTACCACTTTATCTGATATCTGCAGGCAGCTGTCTTGTCGTGCATTGATGTTTTGATGTCTTCATGGCTCTGAAAGATTGGTACCACAGCTTGACAGTCAGAAATCCTTTACAAAACACCAGTTTAAATAAAGCGGCACTCACAAAAAACTTTCATGCCTATGTAAAACTATTACCACTTATAAGTAGTAGTGACATAGTTCACGGTGGCATATGGCCTATGAAGAGAGCAGAGCTGTGGAAGGGACCCAGCAGGCTCCACCTACTACAGGCTGCTTGTAGAAAACTGCAGGAGAGGGTGGATACAAGATCAGTCACCCTGCACAAGGAGAGAGAACAGCAGTGACTGGTCTTTATTACAGGAAGCTCCTGCACAGAGGAAAAGTATCACACTGGATCACTGCACAGATCTGGAATGAATACACAAAGCTCACCAATATTTAAGTAAGAATACACATGCGTCTTGTATTCAGATCATCACATTCCTACTTTAAACCTGAGCAATTAGTGAACGCATATACAAATAAGGAGGCTTATCACATTTAACTAACGAAAAATCAAAATTCTAGCTGAATTCTGCTATACACTGAATCATTTTTTCTAATTGTTTGTGACTCATTTCAATCAGCAACATGTCACTTTGACTCTTGCTTTAACTTCCAGACTCTGTAATTTGCAGGTCACTCTTCCCCACAACACACACTGAATCACAGTGTACCGGAAAGGGATTTGTCACTCCCTACCTACCCAAAGTGCTGCGTTGCAGTGTCAGAGAAGTGCATTGATGTCACTGTTACCCTTTCTCATAGTTGGCGGATTTACATTATCCTGTAACTCTGTCATTTGTAATAAAGCTAATAATACAGAGATCGTATATAATATATTGTGCTTTGGGCAGTCCTAGTAAATGTGTAGACTTGCAGCATGCTGTCACTTTGCATAAATACCAATGTTTCCTATCACTGAAACACACTGACACAGGGGATCAATAAAACTGCCAGATTTAATATACTCTATATATCTCTCCCTGCCTCTCATTAAAGTGAGCACATAGCCCATAATTGGGCGTTATTTTTTATTTCCCTCCTATAAAACGATAAAGATTTATTTCACTCCGTATTTAGCCAATGCTACCCTAGCATGTCCATGCTGCAAATAAATCACAGGAAAGTGTATCTATTTGATTTAATTGCATTTATTTATATGGTAACTAGAATATGCTATTTGTTTACATCAGGAGGCAGCAGGCAACAGTACTAGGAACCTGTGAGGCTCTGCTTCATGTGCTGACAGGAGGAAGAGCAGACTGAGCAGAGTTGAGGTCTGATGAGGACAAAGCAAAAGGAGCGCCTCCATAGTGTATTGATTTATTAAGGATAAAACACACAGCTGAAAAGGTACTTACAAACCAGCTTGTATAAACAAACAGAAAGCGATATAATCTTAGGAGACCATCAAGATGAATACACGAAAATAGTGTGAGGGAAAGGAAGTGCTAGTACTTCACAGGTGCCAAAACACAGTAACACGTTTCTGAGGACAAACCTCTTTCATCATGAGGTTCTGATGAAAGAGGTTTGTCATCAGAAACGCGTCAACTGAAGGAGGGCCAGCGTGCAGATGGCTTTGGCTTAGTGCTAGCACTTCCTTTCCCTCACCCTATTTTCGTGTATTCATCTCCTAAGATGATATCGCTTTCTGCTTGTTTATACAAACTGGTTTGTAAGTACCTTTTCAGCTGTGTGTTTTATCCTTAATAAATCCATTTTACACGATGGAGGCGCTCCTTTTGCTTTGTCCTCATCAGATTTTCGGTTTCCCTTGACTGATGAGCTGCCCTCCTGTATATACCAGGGGGACCATGTTCAGGAGCAGTTACTGTGTTTTGGCGCCTGTGATTTTCACTTATCTTTATAGAGTTGAGGTCTTCTCAGTGCGTTGCTGATCCTTCACTGACCAATCAGTACGCCGTGTGACACCACTGTATTCCTTAACTCTATTCCTTAACTCTGTCACACTCCTGGTTGTTCTGTCTGACAGAACTTTGTGGATCGCAACTAGACAGAATTACAAATCTTTTAGCAAGACAGTTCACATAAGTGTACTCATCTTCTGGTCTGGCGTTCAGGCATGCAGCTAAAGGTGCAGACATGAGAACTCCGAGACGGAGGTCTTTAGGGAGGACAGACCACTTTAATTCTAGTGATAATACAAATCCTATTCCCCCCAATTCATTAATGTTGTCTTCCTAAATGTGAAGATGCGCATGAGCTCTGCTTCCCAGCCATTAATCAAATATTTTGTTTTCTTCCCCTAAGGACATGACATCCGTCTTCAAAAAGGTTCTGGACCTGACATATCCCATAACCTCTATGTTCTCCGGGGCGGCCTTTAATAGCAGCATCAGCAGCATCTTCAAGGACAAGCAGATAGAGGTAAGCACTGTGTCTGTTTAAATTGTATGCCACAGCTCCAGCTTCCATTCACAATGATCTTGAAGCCTGAATGCATTCATGTCATTAGCAGCTGGTACACATGACAGTTCCTGTCCATTGTTTCCATAGGATCTTTGGATTCCTTATTTTAACATCACGACGGACATCACAGCTTCAGCCATGAGAGTGCACACAGATGGTAGGTGATTTAGATCTGTCTTCATCATACAATGTGCCTTTAAGAAAACCAGTAAGAGCAGGAAGTGCATTTCCACTGAGAGAAGGGTATTTCCAAGGGAAAATCAGTTAAAAAGTATAACCTGTGGTGGTACAGAACTACACAGAAATAAAAAGGCGCTGGACTCCAGCCCAAACTTTTTTTTCCTTTCGGACAGTGTAGGGAAGGGTTAGAACCCCTAACAGTTTATTATTGCTGTTATTGTCCCCATCGTTGTTTCTGTTCTCAGTTCCTGTCTTCTGTTGACAAAGGAAGTGATAGAAAAATCTCCCCACTTGAGACACAGCCAGCAGTAAAAGCCTGCAAGAGGTTCTTACCTTTCTTCACTCCATCCAACACCAATGAAAATAAATGTTTTGGCTGTGCTTCCCTTTATAGAAATGTTTATAAAACTGAACATTGCTTTATGGTTATCACTTCAGTGTGCGCTGTGTGATCAACACAGTGTTCTGTTGTCTATCCCCTCTGACCCTTCTTTTTCTGATACAAAGGCTTGGTATTGATTGCTCCACAGTATTTTAATTTAACAGGCAACAGTAATAAAAAGGAAAAGCAGTAGAGAATAAAATACGGCCTTTTATGTCCATCTTTATTTGGTGTTCCTGTAATTACTGTTATATGGGGGCAAAGGTCGGGTTGTGACAATCATGGAGGCATAAACAAAAAGCAGAGGGGAACCTCATTGTGGAACAATAAATCCTAGATGGCCAAGAATGATTTGTATATGACTGTATAAAACAGGTCAGTGGCAAGTCATCCAGGACTGCAGAGGTTGCAATGGCTTTCCGTGCCATGATTGGTGAGAGGTCCAAACCTAATGGTGGCTAAAGGATACCATCAAGAAGCCTTGTAATGATGTGTCAAAAGGAGCTTTGCGCTTATAGATGGGTTATATTGGGTGAGGCATTGCAGGGTTTTAATACTACTAAAGAGCATCCCACACCATAAGTCTGAGCAAGTTTATTATTTTATATTTTTGTGACAATGCAATCCAGTTAGGTGTTTAAAGTGACCCTGTCACTAACACACAAAAACTGCAGAAAAATCAAGTATCTTAAAGACTTACTGGCACTGGTTTTCCATTCCATAATATTTTATTTACTTAAAATGTGACCTTGAACTTGCTTGCAAATTTGACTTCTTCAGAAAGAGGCGGACCCCTAGCATGGCCCCCTCCCTCCTGCCAGAGTGACTAACAGTTTTGACTCCCACTTGAGCGACAGCTCTGACACTGCTGACTGCACATCAAGATGGCAGCGCCCAACAGCAGTCTCAGGACTTTTTTATGTCTACAAAGAAGGCTTTTTTAGGTAAATAGCAGTCATAACATACATTAAATGCACATATAATCTTATGGGAAGATTGTTGTTGAAATAAATGGTCTGATGACAGGGTCACTTTAACTGGCTTCACATTGTAGAAAGAATATAGTCCAGTTCCATTACATGGCATTTTTAGATGGCTGCAGTTCAACCACCATGCCATGTAAGAAAAATGTATAAAGCAAGCACACACCGGTGGAAATATTTTTCTTTCTTAATGCCCACGCCACTAAACTTCTCTCTCCGATACTGAAAAATGGTACCCTGAAGGCAGATGGGAAACTGAAGAATTTAATCAAGAAGATTTTTATTTTCATTTTGTCGTACAATACACTGCAAGATACGAGAGGTGCATACATTTAAGAATTTAAATCTCCTGGGTTCCTATCAGCACTCAGTGGTTCCTCCTGCTGACCCCCATGTCATTATAGGAGATAGCAGTGATGTGGAGGTCAGAGAGAGTTACAGGGGACCCAGGCAATTGCCACTCCTTGAATTTTTGGCTTCTCAGTGCACATTGGTGGAACATTTCTCCCAAAGGAACAGAGAATAGTGGTAGGAAAGTTATGTATTCTCTTTCTTTTTTACATGTAAGTGCTTCCATTATACATTTTACCTATATGGCAGAGTTGCTTTGATGTTGAACTCTATGCAGATATAAACAAACGAATGCAGTTCTGTATTCATTAATATGTCATCAAATTTTTATTTGAAGTAGTGTAAGTACCTAAATTTGACTTATCAGCCTCTTGCAGTCTCTATACAGAAGAGAGTGGGAAAGGAAAAAGCAGCACAAGGACACAATCAGTTAATGTGCTGACATGGAGCATGCTGATAGGAAGAGAGAGCAGAGTGACAGAGATGAGATCATGACTGTATAGCTTTTCCTTCACTGTGTGGGGGTGGGTTCATGACAACCTGGGCTCATAGCAAGTGAATTAAATGATGCTGGCTGCATTTATAGACACCACGTGGTACCACAATTCTGCAATGTTGTTACCTTAAATAAGTCAGGCCAGGTTCTCTCTCAGTTATATTTACAGATGTAAATGCCTCTGATGTTACCGGCTTTAGAAAAACTGTCCTTTAAATCAGTTTGTTGCAGATACGTCTAGTGACCAGCGATGATTAGTTACATAGATGTGATCTCCTGTGAAATACACCTTCCAGCACCCTTAATTGAATATGTATTGCCTCCTGTGTTCTTGGATCTGTACATTCTGTAAAGTGGAGTCAGGTAAAAATACACCTAGCTAGACGGAAGAGGGATAGCTTACATAGGCGCCTGTGTGAGCAATTCAGCGATCCCTTTGTAGTAGTTGTAGCAGATGTGCAGGTATTGTGACATCCTTTGCTGCTGCACATTGTTCAGAGATGAATGAAACATTCTCCGCTTCTTGTACTTTATATTGGTTTAGCTGTAGCCATAAGTAGGATTACCTCCTACCCGACACTTGGACAATGTCATTACACACTCTATCAGCTCCATGTGACTAATACAGATAGTGGGAATTTCTCTCACCATTACTCCTCTGGTTCTGTAGCCTTACACCCACACAATCCCAGTCCTAATGAGACCCAGGGACTAGCTTCAGGCTTCCTTACTGTGCGTTACACAGGTTAGGAAATCCCACTCAGAGATGGAAGTTCCGCCTTTTTTCTCTCCCAATTTACAGTCCTTGCTTCAGTAATTACCAATATCTGGAAAAAGAGCCGGAACCGGAAAGATTCATAGCAAGAAAATAGGCAATTAGGGAGCCCAGCAAGATGGTTGCAACATTATAAGCAAAACCAAAAGTTCCTCAAGTAGGAAATTATATACACACACACACACAGACACACACACACACACACACAATATGTGATCTATTTTTTTTTGTGTGTACACATTTTCCTCCAATCTGAAAGTGTCAGTGTGTCATTGTTCTAGACATCTTTCGGCATATCTTTGTTCTGGGACCCACAAGTGTCAGTGTCATTGTTCTGGGACCCCCAAATGCAGGCATTCCATTGCTCTGGGACCTCCATGTGTTAGTGTGCCATTATTTTATCATTTCGTATGTCATTTTAACCGAACCTGCAGCTGACTGGTTGCTAGCTTCATTCAGCCAAGAATTTTCCAACATGCTCCTTCAGGTGATCAAAGGATGCTGGACAGAAGGATGCCACCAGGAACACCCACTGTGCGAATTTCAGCCGGTTCATCAAGAATTGTCCAGAATGCGCTGCGTGTATGGTCTACCTTTTAGGGTTCATTTATATTCGATGTGGGTCACGTGGTTATTGGGACCCCTGCCACTGTCTTGTAGACAGAGCACAGCTCAATTCCATCTAGCTGTCAATCTGTACACAGGGAAAACATCATTTTACATGACCCGTTGAATGGGGGGCCCAAAATGAGTCTTGTGCCTTGTACACATCTTAGCTTGGATCACCTGAAAGGCTGTAGATCTTTAGAAGGTAATACATGATGTTTTTGTATGAAATAAGAAAATGGAAGTGATTCATGCCCTATAAGAGTTGCGGCAGCCTGCAGTGCTGTCTCAGTGAGGTATCTACAATCAGATAATGACTGATTACATTAGCAGCGCATGATAAGTGCATACTGACAAGCTTTGGCAGTGATGTTAGCGGGAGACAGAATAGACCCATGGATCTTGTGTGATGAGCAGGAGCAGGAAAAAGTCCTGGCATGGTATCACACAGAATGCACAAGTAGTAGCAGCTAATGTCTATCCAGGGATACCAGTATCCATAAGAATGAGATGATGCGTGGACCTATATGGGTTGGACTTGATGGACGTATGTCTTTATTCAACCCCAAATACTATGTAACTATGTAATGTGCAGATGAGGGGGAGAATTCCTGCACTCTGTGGGTTTGCGTTACAAAAATCAGGAACACAACCTTTTTATGACAGAATCCTAGATTCCAAGTGTCAGCTTATTGAACTCTACAGTGGTCTCTTGGGTCCTCAGAAATATTAATTTCCTCATACAGTTATCAGCCAACACTTTGAAAAAACTGCTTCTAGTTTTGGGTGGACAGCAATGTTGGTTCCCTATATATCTATCAGAGACCCCAGTCGTCTAATTTCCTGTGGTAGATTGGATCTCTGACCCCTCCCAGAAGAACATAATGAAAGTTGTTGCTTACTCACGGCTGGATTCCTTGGATATTACTTCTGCATTATAGAAAAACTATCAGGGAATGGTGACACCTTTATTTGGCTTTGTAATGGCTGCACTTGGGAGATCTTACTACATGTTTTTCTGAAATATAAAAACGCCACCCAAAATGTTCAGTTCTTAATGGTCTTTGGCATGCTGAATCAGATGCTGGCTTTTCATGTATATTAGGGACTATCTGTGAGAATTAATTATGTTGACTGAAATTTATACTGCGAATATAAACAATGAAACGGGAACAAAAGGGTAATTTTAAAATCATTTGATGTATTTTGAATAGAGCTTATATGATTATCAGATATCTGATATGTTAAAATCCCGAGCTGTCCCCCACAGTACTCCTATTGGCCACAAGATTTCTTCAAGCTTCTGGGTTCAGTGATGGCCAGCATCACTCAACCTGGAAGACTGAGGAAAGGCTGTGTGAGTTCAGGGTGTCTTGTCCCCTCCCCCTGAGCATGACGTCTTGCACTCACAGTATTAATGCAGAGTTGCACTGATGTCATCACGTCAGCTCTGCTCTGCATCATTCAGGACAACCTACCCCCAGGACAGTAGGAAGAGGACCCTAGCCATCACATGACCATCAAGTAGGCACCAGAAAAAGGATAGTTTAAAAAAATGTTTGCAGGGTTATTCACAAAAGTGTGAAGAGTTTGGAGAAGGCCGGAGAAGTGAGCAATCTAGGACAACATAACTGATTTGTAAAACTCCAATTCAGCTCACTTTCCAGTTCAGCTACGTTGTCCTAGATTGGTCACTTCTCCTGCCTTCTCCAATCTCTTCACCCTTTTGTGAATAACCCTGTTAACATACTGCTGGCAGGGGCCTCAAGGGGTAAAAAGGGTTCTCTGAGACTGGAGAAGCACAGATACTGGTGCTGAGCTTTAACTTTCCAAAAATCTACCCACACCAGAAATCTGTCATAGATTTGGAGTGGCAGCATTGTAAGCCAATAAAGTACCAATGCATAGCACAGCACTGTCACCCTAACATAATTTACAGTATGTACTGGGCACTGGAGAGAGGGCAGTCCATGGGTTTGACAGTGGTAGTTCTCTGTGTGTCCTTGACTCCATACATTGTGCTAACTCTTGAGCCGACCATGACACTTTATCCTTCCCTACCTGAACCTTTAAACTCAATGCAATCCCTAAAATTAAACCTTACAACTTAAACTCCACCCGGCTGCTTTAGTTTGGCCTTAGCTTAACCCTTAACCTCACCCTAATGTTAAATTGTAACCTGAACCGCAAAAGATGACCTCAGTCTAAACCCAAAATTAGTGTTAATGTTTAACACTAAATTACCCCGGAAATGCCACTCTTACCTCTTCAGGCACAGTAACTACCAGTGCTGCAATCTATGACCCCAAGATCTCAGGGCCAAAGCCACTGCTTTATTAGAAGGAGGTGTTTTGGGAAGTGTTTTAGGCCCTAGAGGAGAAAAACACTGAGAGGGGCACTGGAAGGATCTCACTAGCGGAATGAGTCTCATTCATAGTTCAGTGAGCAGGTAAGAGGTGGAAAAACGATGCAGGAAGCTGCAGCCTTTGAATAATGGGGTCACCCTCTGACTATGCACTTTGGCAGGACTGTGTAAATCACCAAACTGGCTAAACTGAATTACACATATTTTGGCAGGTAAAACAGATCATATAAATGTATTTCAGTTATGGGTTTAACTGAATTGCGCAGGTTATTTGAGGTGATTGATGGGTAAGCAGACCCACATTATATGCCTGATACCAGAAGTAGATGGTGTGCTTTGATTGGAGTTCTACGTCCTTAGTCTGATTTTAGACTGTTTCTTGGTAAATGGACTAACATAAATTATCGATTTTTTCTTTGTAGGGTGTCTTTGGCGATACGTCCGTGCTAGCATGTCTCTATCGGGCTACATGCCTCCACTTTGTGACCCCAAGGACGGACACCTACTGATGGATGGGGGATACATCAACAATCTCCCAGGTACGCAGTTGTATGGAATTGTTAGAGTTGGTGTAATGGCAATGCTTTGAAATGACTCATATCTCTGACTTGTATCACCTAACAAACTCACAACATGATTAAAGTCCAGGAACCTGGCCTGACCTGACCACTGTTATCTGCAAAGCTTTGACACGTTCTTCTTTTACTGTTTAATGCTCCCATGGACCCTGCTATGAGTGAGGCAAACTTTGGAACAAGGAAGTGTTTAAACTTTGCAGATTAAGGCCTGGTTCACACCTGGGCGTTTTACAGCGCGTTCCTACACGCTGCAAAAAGCTCAACATGTGAAAACCAATAATTGCCTATGGGCATGGTTCTCACCTGGGCGTTTTACAGCACGTAGGAACGCGCTGCAAAACGCCCTACGCCCAAAGAAGTACAGGAGCTTCTTTGGGGCGTATTTGCCGCGCGTATCCATTAGGATACAGTCGGATAGCCCTCGGAAACGTGCGTTTGTCGCATGTTTCTTTTGCCGCAAATCGCTGTAAAAACATGCGGCAAACGCGCATATTCCATAGGCCTAGGTGTGCACCCAGCCTAAAGAGTCCTGGAGTTAGTGTCGGGCACACCGGAAAGGAATCAGGACTCAGGAATCAAGATGTATAAAAACTGCCTTTCAGAAAAATCAACCTATCTGGCTGTCATTGTTATTGTCATTCAGTCGATATACACCGGTCAGCCATAACATTATGACCACTGAGGGGTGAAGTGAATAACCTTGATTATATCATTACATTGGAACCTGGAAGTGAGTGGGATATATTATGCAGCTAGTCAACATTTTTTCCCTGAAGATGATATGTTTGAAGCAGAAAAATGGGCAAGCATAAGGATTTGATAGACTTTAACAAAGACTAATTTGCAATGGCTAGACGCCTGGGTCAGAGCAACTCCAGAACTGCTGCTCTTGTGGAATGTTCCCAGTCTGCAGTGGTCAGGACCTACCAAAAGTGGTCCAAGGAAGGAGAACCGGTGAACCGGCAACAGGGTCATGGGTGGCCAAGTGTCATTGATGCACGTGAGGAGCGAAGGCTGGCCCATGTAGACCTATCCAATAGAAGAGCTAATGTAGCTTGAATTGCTGAAGTTAATGCTAGTCTTGATAGAAAGGTGTCTGAACAAACTGCATCACAGTTTGTTGCGTATGGGCTGCTAACCACAGACCGGTCAGGATGCCCATGCTAACCCGCTTCCACTGCAAGCACACACTTGATGGACAGGTAACCATCAGAACTGGACCACAAAGCAATGGAAGAAGGTGGCCTGGTCTCATGAATCACATTTTTTTTGACATCACGTGGATGGCCAGGTGCGCGTCTGTGTCGCTTACCTGGGGAAGTGATGGCACCAGGGTGCACTATTGGTAGAAGACAAGCTGGGGGGAGGCAATGTGATGCCTTGGGCAATGTTCTGCTGGGAAACCTTGGGTCCTGACATTAATGTGGATGTCACTTTGACGTACCACCTACCTAAACATTGTTGCTGACCAAGTGCAACCCTTCATGGAAAAGGTATTCCCTGATTGCAGTGCCCTTTTTCAGCAGTATAATGCGCCCTGCCACACTGCACAAATGGTTCAAGAATGGTTTGAGGAACACAACAATGAGTTGGAGGTGTTGACTTGAACAGCCTCAAAATTCTCCAGATCTCAATCCAATGGAGCAACTGTGGGATGTGCTGGAAAAACAAGCCTGTTCCATGGAGGCCCCACTTCGCAAATTACAGGACTTAAAGGATTTGCTGCTGACTGCTTGGTGTCATTTACCACAGCATACCTTCAGAGTTCTAGCGGAGTCAATGCCTAAACATTGCGGAAAAAGGGGGACGTACTCAATATTAGGCGGGTGGACTTAATGTATGGCTGATCAGTGTAAATACATTTTTTGGCACAGCGCCTAAGTGGTGCCAGTGAATGCTTTAGCCCACCAGGGACACAATGTGCATGACATAATCATGTTTTCCTTGTATTTGGGTTTACGTCCATGACCTTAAAACTTACTGGCTCCCATCTATATTGTATGTGTGGGTCTAATATGACTGTGATATGGACGGATTGTAAGCTATTTTGGGACAGGCACTGCTGTGAATGATTCTGTGAATAACACTATGCAATATGGGAAATAAATAATTAGCAAGTCCTGTTATCCCGGTATAAGTGGAATATTCCTAGTGTATATTTTAAAGGGATTGTGTGGTGTTTTTCCCAAAGGTAATACAGTATATCCAATGACTACAGCATTTTTATACATTTTGTTTTACTTCTTAATAGGAAATATTACATAATATTGCATGCTTGCCTCTCTAAGCACACCAAAGGCTGCAGCACATTGTTTCCTGCAAAGTGATCTACTGCTATGTTGTGAATAGTCTACATAGCCTATGTGTTGTTATCCTCTGCTGCTCAGGTCTGTTCTTAACACACACAGCTGTATGATAGGGATTAGGGATACACCTCCCCGCCTCTTTGCTAGTTTATACCCAGCTGTATTGGTTTTTATATACGCAGAGACAATCGACAAAAGAAAAGGCAGTGCTGGACTTCCTCATTGCAAAACATGGCATGCTCTGGAAGCTAAATGTCATAACTGCACTGTTTAGTAAATGCGTATTTGTTATAAAGGTGTTATAAAGGTGTTATAAAAGTAGTAAAAACATTTCATGAAATAATTGGTTTATAAACTTGAGTATATTAAAAAGAGAATAAAATTGACCACAAACCTTTTACAGTTTTCCTTTTAAACACAAGAATGAATTTTTAGCATTCATAACTGTCCTTGCAGTTGACAGCGTATTCACATTAATTATTCTGTCACTTTTCTTTCTAATTAACTGGTAGTATGTTTTTGTCTTCATTAAAACGTGTTGTGCAGTGCAATAAGGGGGAGTGACGAGATTCTTTCATTAAACTGATTTATATGGCTATAATTCTGTACTATATCATGTCTGGTGCAGATCGGAGGCATTTATTATCCCAGTACAGATGGGGGTCACACAGCCGGTATATGGAGCTTCAGGCATCCTGGAACAAGTAGTTCCCCAATGGCTGGAGAGCCATAGATGTCCCAGCTCTAGTATTCGAGTGATACTGTACCATTCATTTGTCTTGTAACATCCTCTATTACTTTTGGCATTCTAATAGCTGATGTAGCCTGCTCCATGGGTGCCAAGGTGGTTCTAGCCATTGATGTGGGCAGCAGGGATGAGACGAACCTGACTAACTATGGTGACGCCCTGTCCGGCTGGTGGCTGTTGTGGAAGAGGTGGAATCCGCTGGCAGACAAAGTCAAGGTGAGCTTTCTCAGGTGATGGTGAGAATCAGACCGGCATCTCTTCCAAGGGGGATGGGCAGACTCCGCGCTGTGACTGTCAAGGGAAGTGATGCGAAAAGCTCAGAGCAGCCATGCATTCACCTGGAGTAAACAAGAATAGATTTTCTTGTACAGAGCATTAACTGCTTAGGAATTGAATTAAAGTTGTTGTTTAACCACTTCATTATATGCAGAGCCCTATTTATTATACATAAAGGGCTTTACATTATATATTACATCTATTACAATTGAAGCAGGATTTCAAACTGCTGCTCTTATAACGAATACAGAAAATAACAGCTGAAGGTTTTTTGATATCCATCTGGTCTGCTTAAATAAAATAACAACAGATTCTTAGAATGTAACACCACTGATGATGACTGGCCGACACAGCTGAAGAATGCATGCAGTACCTTTCTAAAGTCTCTTCTGTTGTACTTGTGCATGTGAGCTCACTAATGCTGCCCATCCATCCCCCTGCAGGTACTGAACATGGCAGAGATCCAGACCCGGCTGGCATATGTTTGTTGTGTGCGGCAGCTGGAGATGGTGAAGAATAGTGAGTACTGCGAGTACATCCGACCACCAATTGACAGATATGGCACACTGGAATTCGGCAAGTTTGATGAGATTTGTGTAAGTATCTCTCTATTCACATGGGGAAAGGATGTAATTGTAGCATATGTAACCTTATGCAATCTAAATGACCACCAGGGGCTGCATACTACTCCTGCTGACCTAGTAGTTCCTTACAGGGCCAGTCCACTCAGTAAATGATATTTCAGTATTGGATGCCAAATCACCCATTTGGCTGCAGCTCCACCCACCTGCTGTGGCCATTATAAGAGTCATAATCTAACCTATAGATTTGTATTTATTTTTTATTCAAAGGATGCATTGAGGCTGCCATTGTTGGCATCTCTTTCTGAAAACGTATTTGACTGGCTGTCATCCGGATTCAGTGTCCACTACTTTCTAAGCTCAGAACATGTATGCAGATCAGGGGTTTTGACTTCACTCTGACTTTCCACATTTGTCTGATTTGTTCCAGATCTTGAAATATTTTGAAGCATTTTCAGAAGGAGATCAGATTAGGTGGCAGCCTCGGTATTTTTCTCACTACAGTCCTCCTTTAATGATAGAGCATCATGATAAGAAAATGAAAACTGACAGTTCTGCTCTCTCTCTTTCTGTAAAGGCTGGTTGCCTGTCTGTCATGTTGATGTATTGGCTTCAATGCTCTGACTTTCTTACCAAGAAAAAGTATTGGGATAAGAGGCTACAACACCTTTTTTGACATTCCTTTGCTACTTGCTCTCTGCCAGTAACTTAGAAGTATTGGGGATGGAGACAGACAGTCAGCTCTCATTTTTTAGAATAAGGCTAGCAATGACAGCTGAAATATAGCTATCCTGACAAGTGAACTTTAAGGGTAGTGGCCAGTCTTTGCAAGGGACAATTTTATTTGGTCCATTTCAGCATAGATGGCTTTGCTGTTGCCATTTGATGGGAATATATATTGGTTTTGTTAATTAAATAGGAAATATTGCATGTATATTATTCAGTCTTCTATCCAGCCAGCAGCTGGTGCTCTAGTCTTGTTTTTACGTATTCAGCTTATTTAGCCTTCAGCTGTGCTGAAAGAAGCCCAGTGTTTACAGAATTCAAGGCATTGCAGCAATGACTCCTCCCTTATCAGGCTACTCAGTCAGACAAAGGAAGCTGCAAAGCAAGCGTCATCTGTTATGTTGTCTGATTAGCTAACCCATAGTACTCTAGGAATCGTTTGTTCTGTATTAAATGTATGTTTATTTGTAAAACAAAGACATACACACACATATAAAACAACAGTTTGAAAATGCATATCCTTAAAAAATAAAAAAAATGTAAAGTACAATTCATCCAAAACCAGAAGAAAAGAGGAATGTGCATTAGTGATAAGAGGCCAACCTCAAGGTCCATATATTTCCCAGCTCTCTGATAACCACAATGCATTTAATAAAATGACTTTCCTGAAGTGTATGTATTTGCATTGCTAATGAAAATTGTATTATCATTTATACAACGGTCCGCATATTAAGGCCTCTTCATTATCATCCTGATTTCTGATATCTCCTCTTTATTGCAAGATCCCATTTAGCATAAATGATATTTTGTCCTTGTGTGACCGCACCCTTCCTCTCCTGTGACATCCTATGACTTGCATAATTCACAGGCGACAGGGCAAAGCTTGTGGCAGAGCTGTCGAGATTTATTAAACCGCGCTCTCTTTGTGTTGGGAGGCGTTCTATCTCAGAGGCACTTATACAAAGCTTTTACAGTGACAGTAAATTCTGTGTCACCATAAATCCACAACTACTGATTCCTCAGTGTGAGACGTTACCTGCTTATCTTCTTGTTCTTCCTAGAAACGAGGACATTTTCTAGGTATGTCGTGGAGCTGTGTTGATTCCTGGCAACGAGGGAAAAGATTATGCAAAAAAGATGCATTAATGTCATAATTGCACCTACAGAAATAGTGATTTGACAAGGTGCAATACATTAACCATGTGAACCTGTCTCTTATTCTTCAATTCTCTGTTCAACTTTTTCTTTTTTAGTCACAGAGTCTAATAGAGGCTTCGTACTGTTTCATTATGGAAAATTAGACTTGTCCTTTAAAATTTTCTTTTTTTGGGTTTCTATTATATCTAATAGTTTAAAGTACAATGCTGAGCAAGCTAACGGCCTATTTTCAGTCATGACTTACCTTTTGTTCTGGCCTTGTAGCCAGCTAAATCTTTTTCCTTCCTCATCACCTGCACAATTAGTTTGCATTAATTTAATCTATGAAAGAGATTTAGACTCAGCCGCCAGAAAATCCATCCACTTTGCTGCCTGTAAAAGCTGCTGCCGTTAATCATTATTAACACCCCGGAGTGTATCCATTATGTAACAATAGATGTTTTAAAAGGTTTGGTTTAAGTTGATCACAAATGTGCAGTCCGAGCTGTGTTCCGTAGCTGAGCGATTGCCAGGTATCGACCAGTAATTACAGAGTAATGGCATTTAGATGCAGTTGGCATTGCTGAACACGGAGTTAACCCCTTCCATTCTGCTTTTGCTGCAGGATGTGGGGTATCAGCATGGGAAAACAGTCTTTAACGTATGGAGCCGCAGTGGCGTCATCGACAAAATGCTGAGGGACCGCCAGGAAACGTGCAAGTCTAAAACTTCAGATGTAAGTTCTTGATTTTTGTATTCATACGAGGCTATTATTATGATACTGCTGTCACCTGCTGCTTCTAGATGAGTGCTGCAAAGCCAATTGCATTATGGGAGAGTTACATGGAACCACACACCCCTCGGAAGCATGGCTCCTAATAAATGGGCTAAAAATGGTGGGGGCCTGCCAAAAGATTTGTAGCTTGTTGCTGGGTTTTAAATGCAGTAAATCATTTTATCTCTCACCCCCAGGTGTTCTAGGAAGCCAAGAATCCCTTTAATTTCTACTTTTACTTAAAGGTCAACGATACTTCTGCTCACTTTACTGGCCTATCCAATGCCAAGCAGTGTCTATCTCCCTGGTGCCCTCTGTAAAGTTGAACATTCACCAGGAGGCACCCTAGAAAAATTTTGTCATCCCATGTGCTGGTGCCAAGCCAGTATGGTTGTGGCATGTATTCCCTACAGCTGTCAAACACCAGAGCCTGTACTGTGCATTGACGTTCTGACATTTGACAGTGGATTAAAAGGAGGAGGGGCTTAACACCTGGAGAGGACAAAGCTTAAAATTAACATATTTTATACCCATGCAGGGCAAGGCAATGGGTCACCTTTTAATGTCGGCTCCACCAGCTATCCAACTCATATTCACTACCACTCCTTTAGTCTGCTAGGAGCACAACAAGGAAGCACTGCATAAGCTACTATTTGGGACTTGAAGCTTGCAAGCTTTCTTCCCACCCATGTGACAGGGTGGAGCCCCTCAACGCCAATCCCTAAGCCCCGTGCGAGAGGAAGTTGAGTGAGTCACATGCTCCTTCATACCAGGATGTACTGGTATTTTTCTTTGCTCCTGGCAGCCGAATAGAGTAGCAGGTGAGCAAAGGAAAGGTGGGTATGCGGTGCTGTTGGTGCTATGATTAAAGTGAACTTGTTGCTACCGTAGCTGTTGCTCCCATATGGGCCTAGGATCCAAGGTGCTCCACAGGAACAGATGGCTTGAGTTGAAGATTAACACTTGTACTTGGAGAAATCATAAGATCCCAGTACTTTAGCACTGTGATTACCCTACAAACATCTTATGCACAGTCCAATTCATTTTAAGACAAGTCCAGTCCCTTCGCTTAACCCATTACCCTGAACCCAACAAAATATATCTACTACCAATCATTTTGTTGGTGTCCATATAGCAAACTGTTTACTCCTCAATACAACACACTAAGATCTCAGTGTAGAATATTCTACACTCAGTACAGATATTATGTCATGGAATACTCTTAAACTGGCTGTGTTGGGTCGCTAGTCAATTGTTTGGGTCCTGGGTGCTTGCGTTCTGTATGTAAGTGTCCACTTCCCACAGACCTGAAAGAAGCCTGAGCAGAGGTAGAGCATCTCTCAGAATACGTCTCCCGCTGGGTATTACGAGTCATTCTCCTTACAGATGAACAGTCAGATCATTAGTGACCTCTGTACACTGCGGATGTATGGAGCTCCCAGCCATAGGAGCACGCGTGAGGAGATACTAGAATCACTGAATACGATAATTAGATCTTCTTATTTATCTCACCTCTCAGGAGGGAGGGTCTTCAGACAGCACAAGAGAACTGTGACCGTACACTCGGAGAGGTTAATAACCCCTTCTTATGATTTGGAATTACCATCTTGTACAGTGTGAAGGAAATTGAATTCATGGATTATACATGGTGCTTGCTTCCTATGCAGCATATAATACAAACTGTGGGAATCTGGTAAACTTAGTTTTTTGGGTTGTTTTTGTAAACCTCATTCAGTTTGTTGGCTGTTATCACTTGTTACATGCAGCCTAATCTGAGATGTGAGATGCAAACTGCTGAACAGATCGAAACACAGATCGGCTTTACATTGCTGCTGCCATTGTTGTGTAATCCGGGGCGGGGACCTGTAAGTGAAATTAGAGCAGAGAACGCTCTGGTCCCCTCTCCTGCTAGGACAGTGCTTTGGGGTTGAGCTGTGTAAATCACAGGACTGGATGGACTGACTCATATGTGTATTACATCTGTGTGTGTGAATTTTGGACTGGAATTTAGCTTTAATGTGTGGTGGATGCCGGAACGATAAACTACCTGGCTGTGGCATCATCCAAGACATATAATAGGCCAAGGACTGACTCAGCCCGCCAGGCTCCACCTATAACTGAGTTGAAATATCAGTTTCATGTAGATCAGGGGTGTCAAACTCAATTTAATCGTGGGCCGCATCAACATTATGGTTGCCCTCAAAGGGCCTGTAAGACTATATAAATGTATCTAATCTTTATCATAATTGCCTCTGCAAACAATTATCACTGGTTTTAGTAATAACTTAATACCTAGATGTGAAAGTAGAAGTCTAGGAAATGGCCTGGTAGGCCGGATTCGGCCCCTGGGCCTTGAGTTTGACACATGTGATGTAGATTAACCGTTTAGGGCCCATTCACTCTGGTGTAATGTGTTAATCACACAGTTGCATGCGATTAAGGCACCGCAATGCAATTAACGGTGCAAGAGGTATGTAGGGTTGCCATTCATTTGAATAACACCCCAAAACGCTCCTCCTGCCCGCAGTGCAGTCAATCGCGTGTATTGGGTGTGGAATTGCAGTGTGGTGCAATAAAAAAAAACTAGTGCATTCACACTGCAAAACACCAGTGTGAATGGGCCCTTAAGCCAGGACATTAGAATGATGGGCATGAATATATTCAGTGAAGATGGTTACAGTAAACGCTAATCTTCATGTCATACTGGGACCTTACCTTCCTCTCAAGGGCAGATCGATATTTCCCTGGCTCGCAGCCTGGGCAAGGCCTACATTCAGTCTGATTGACTCAATTGCATTAAACAGATGGCATTCTCAGTTTTACACGCAGAAAACGACTTACAGGTAAATGGAAAGTAAATGCTTTTTGGCTCGAGTTTAAAAGGTGTGTTATTGGCGCTGTTTCCTGCGAGCCGCAGGGAAGAAACTGGAATAAAGAAATCTCATTTCAAGGCAAAATGTCATGAAGTCATCCACCCACAGCCTCTATACATGTCAGCTTTGCATGGATCTATACACTGTGGTCTAGGCGTGAAGCCTGGTCACACATGGGGAAGATTTATAGGGCTTTGTGGGGAATGCATACAGCATTTTTCACAGGCACTGCGCTTAATTCCCTGCCCTGAACAGGGGAAGTTTTAGAGGACTGAGCGGCCTTGATCAGTCATAGTGTCTATATTGGGGTCAGTAGATCTGCAGCCTTTCATCACACTCCACACATTTATCAGTTCCTAATGACACCCCCATTCACAAAGCAGAAAAGGGAAGGTGGAAAGACATGTTAAAGTGGGCTTATCATTGAATTCCCCCTTTAAGAATCTGTATTACCAAATCACATCAATGTTTTGAGGGTGGGATGTTTTTTTTTTCTTGCTGCAAATATAGAAGTCATTCACATAGCTGCAGAGTGCGGCACACCATGAGGAAGGGATGTATTTCTGCACCCGAAGCCACAGGTGTCTGCACACAGCCACAGCTAGCAGCTTGTCAATATAAGACATGCTGTCGGACGCCACAGCTGTATGCATTGCACCGCACATCCGAGTGATTACTTGTGTACAGGGATGGATGATTGACCCCAGACACAGATAGTTTGTGTCCAGAGCTGTTCATTCATCCCTGTCTGCATGAAACCACTAGCTTAATTGCATATAGCCGTGGCATCTGTCAGTCTGTAATTGATTTGCGCTGGCTGCTGGATGCAGTTGCGTGCAAACACCTGTGGCTCCCGTGTACAGAAATACTCCCCTTCTTGATGATGTACGATCATCTGCAGCCTTGTGAATAAGGCCACACACAAAAAATTCTTCTCCCGATAACATGGTTCTAGTAACCCAGAGCACAGTTTGTTTTTCATGTTATTAGTTGTTTGTTACCAAGCTGACTGACTGCTTGGCTTCCAACAAGATAAAAGGCAGGAAGCAGAGCCTGAATATATAATGAGGTACTATAGCTACAACTGTGTGCATGAAGAAAACAAGGGATTTGAATGATCAACTTGCTTTGATATAAAATAATATCAAAGCTAAACTCCATTCCAGACGTTTTTTTTATCTTGGGGAGAGTGTGGAAGAGACACCTGCTAGCATGTTAGGTTTCGCGTATTTTTATATTGAGCTGGAGAATTTCACAGGTAAATGTCAGGAATCGTGACTTGGGTGAGATCTGGGTCTTGGATCCAGAGTCCTCCCTAGGAACTGATCTGATGACAATGGCAGGTACTTGCAGGTATGTTTGTACACTGTGATGGAGATGACAAGTTCATTTTATTATGGTAGAGAAAATGAAGAGTGTACAGCAGATATGTTACAGGTAGAACACCTTATAAAGGTGGCCTGAAAGTAAACCAGGATTATTACCTGTTGGCCTGCTTGGAAAGAGAAATCTACTTCATTTGAAAATAGTTTCTTATGACATTTTGTTTTGTTTTGAATTGGTGATGTGATGGAGAAAGTCATTTTGTTTTCTTTTTCTCCCTTTGCCCCACAGCTGAACACCTGTCCTAACGCCTCCTTCACCGATCTAGCAGAGATAGTGTCTAGGATTGAACCTGTGAAGACTGCTGTTGTAGATGGTAAGTCAGAACCTCTTCATAGAGGAACAGCATGACCTGTACACATTACAAAATGTATAGCATACCAGGAATGTCCAGGTACATCCAATGCTTTTGGGAATTCTTTTCTTTTTCTTAGCAGATTATAACAAAGACAAACGTAAAGAACATTTGTGTCGTTTTTGTAAAGTGCATCTGTACTGAGGAAATATATTGGCTTACATTGCTGAAGTTTCCATTTGAAAATGCTAGTTGCATGGCTGTTATACTAACCCACTGGCTTCAGTTCTACCTGAGCCGTGAGCCCAGGACAGCTATGCAGATTTGGAGTCCTGACTTTAATTTTCTTCATTTGTTTAGAAGGTATTGAGTCCAGAGGCAGCCAAGCACCTGACATTCAGACATAGATCAGCAATATTAGCCTCCATATTCCTCTCAGTTAAACGTTTTTCCTTTAGATTTGAACTCCAGATAAATAAATGCAGTTTTGTCTTTATTAAAAAAACTGTATTTTTAAAGGCAACTTGTGTTAACCATTGATTTAACTTCATATCCTTACCTGTACAGCAGCACTCAGACTGGGAGAGGGAGAGGCAGATTAGGACCAGGCTGTGTTATTTAACCTTAGCAGAGAAAAATTGGGTCACTGTCCTGGCTGTGCTTTGTGATACAGCTGTGTAGATCTCAGAACTGGATTGACTGAAATTCAAATCCTTTAGCAAGTAAAACTGCTCTCATATATGTGCAGTATTTCATCTGTGCGTTTAGCTGTTTGCGTGAAGCTCACCTTTAAAAGAGAAGTAAAGCCAAACTTTTTTTTGTGGCTTTACTTTTCTTTTGGGTCACAGAAGTACATTTACTAATGGCTGTGGCCCAAAGTAAGCAGAAAGCGGTCTACAGCCCCCTATATACTGACAGTGTCGAGCCGCACAAAAACAGCCAGGAAGTCACACAGGTCCTGCAGCTGCACCGCAGTGCACAAGAGGCCATCAGCTGAGATCCAGCTTATCAACAAAAATCCTAAATGAAATAATAAATCAGTCTTTACATTAAATAAGCAAGACAATGATTTATTTTGGCATCTCTGATTATAGTAAGGCACTCAAACATTTTTTCTAAGGTATGAAAGGGTGAGGACTCCCAAAGGTAGTTGAGTTTTTTTATGAAGCTTCATATTTGTGTGGTCTGCTACTCCATTTTAAGGACTTCATAAATGTTTTTGACTTCCTGTGTATGGGGTGCATATTTTTGTTTTCTGACAGGTGGTATTAGAGTGAACCTGAGGAGAAATATATGGACAATGTGAGCAGGGTTGGCAGTCCAGTTTCCTAGCCCTGCCCCAGAACTACGTACATCAGCCATATGCTGTAGGTTGGTGCCACCATTAACAACTTTTTAAAAGTGCAGACATTGGATCCATCATCCTGACTTTGTCTTCACTAACTAGTGACTTTGGTACAACCATGCATTAAAGTTCAGAGCCCGAGCCATCGAATACAAGTCAGCAATGGTAGAACCCACTGTATGTGTCCCCCAGTTTAGCATAGATGTAGGCAGTCATTTGAGAGGTCATCTGAATTTCACCTTCATTGCGCTGTGTTCAGTGCAACTATGCAGCCCACTTCTCCCTCCTGCACCTGCTGCTTATTAGGTTCATTCAATCCTACAAGCAGCAGTTTTGCTGTGTGCACGACTGTTATTCAGCCATGAACACTAATGAATACAACAGGATCCTGGAAGGGCTTAAAGTGATATAAAAGTCAAAAAGTTTTAAAGTTATTTCAAATGCTGATTAAAAAAACTTACAATATATGCTTCTTCTTGATGTATAAAAGTTTCAGCTTCCTGCAAATCCAAATGGTCCTGTGAGCCCTGGCCCTGATATCCTGTTTTGGGTTGGCTCCTTTCCCTTGCAAGGTCTCTATGGTGCTGCCCTCATGTGCAATTAAGTAATGTATGTCTCTACAAACATGCAGACACAGCAAGGCAAGCTACCCCTCCCTTCTCGAAGCTAGTAAATGGACAGCTGCTGGAGACTATGCTGCCCCTTGTGATCTTATACGTAACAAGAGGTTCAGGGAAGCAGAGCTGAGAGAATTGGAGCCAGCTATTTGGAAACATGATGATTGCAAGTGCTTGGGCAGACATTTTGAGAAATATTTTCCTGGACCTGGATCCATTATTGAAAAAAAAAAAAAGTTTCAGAGTTTAATACTACTTTAAATGGCCTCACACCTTTTGTGTTACACATCCTTTAGTGCGTTTAGTTTTTATAATAAAAGTGCATTTATTATCTTTATTGCCACTCCACTCTACAAATCCCGTTGCTTCCAAATATGGCAGATCACATGACATGCCCCTTGCCTCCCAAAAATGCAATTCTTGGGGCCTAAGTGGTTAAGTCCACATTGCTGTCACGTAGAGGGTGTGAAATTATGAACTGCTCACAGAATTGTAGGAAATGATCAGCAACATTCCAAGGATGGCAGCAGGGGAGCAGTACTAGAGATAAGTGTAGGCAGAAGAGTGTGCCTAGTATCGGGTGGACCTCCAAAGACTAACCTGTTGGAGCTGACAAGGTAACAGCCAAGCAGCATGTATTATTGCGGGTCTAGAATGGCCTTAAAACATGACCTTGCCAAAATACCAAAAATGTCCATCAATGAAAACCTAGTGAAGGATCCTTTAGTGCTACACAAGTGGTTCTTCATTCAGAGAAATGTAGAAGATGTCTCTGGGTCCCCACTCTTGCTAATGAGATGGAGAGCCCCTGAATCTTCTAATAAAGGTTGGCCTTACAGTCATGCTATCCAGAGTGACCACTTTCCCTTTCCAGCATTTCCCATCAATAACAATCAATTCCCGTCAAGCTCTTCATGATTCTCCACTCTCCTCCCAGCAGATATTATCTCTCAGCCAATACTTCCTCCAGTGATTTTCATTGGGTATTTCATGTTTCTCAGGGCTCCCCTGGGCTCAGCGTCACTGCCTCGCTCTTTGAAAAACCCATTATGCTCAGACGTCTGTTAAGCCAACGTATTCATTAAGCAATTGGAGAGAGACCGTCAATTAGTTTGTATGAAAAAGCTGCCAACATCTGGTGCTGCTCTGGCTGGCTCGAGTCCATCTATCCCATAATAGAATTCTCCCTCGTGTGCAGCCAAGTGAATGTTTCAATATTCAAACACCTCACTGTTGTTATGATAATGCATTCCAGCATCGGACATTTTACTCATTCTACTGCATCATGTACAGATTCAAATGACACAACAAATGTAATCCACCATGTATGTTTACAAATGCTTGAAGCTCAACCCCGGGTAGAGGTTCAGTTGTCACCAGGATAGGAAGGCAAGGACAGTAAAAGCAATGCCCAACCATCGGCCAGAGTGGGAAAGGGATAGAACCAGCGCCAGGTTGTTTTTGTTGTCTGCTGTGTCAGTTAGGGAGCTATGCCCTCATTTCCTGCCCTGATGACAGGGGTCAGAGGGGCAGGAAGTGCTAAAGAATCTCTCCATAGGGAGCAAAAGCACTTTTGCTTAGTAGAGTAGTAAAGGATTGGAACCTCCTTCAGGTTTGTCTCCTGTCCCTGTGACACCTATTCCCCTCATTTCATGTCTTGACTTCACAAGGACAGGGTGTGAAGTGAAATTTTCCCAATGGGGAATCAACAAAAACCCTAAACCCTGTATCCTAAACTAAAACAAATAATTGCTCGGAGTTGGGCTTTATAGAGACCATAGAAATCGGAGCACCGGTGGACATGATGTAATCTGACCACCCTCAGGCACTCCAACCTGGCAAGAGGTGCACACACAGGAACAATCAGCTTAGCCACACATTTGTGTTTATGGGAGAGGAGGTAAGCAGATATGGTAGCTATTGTTGATGCTGCTTATTGCAGGGGAGATCCCTGTGCCATACAGGCCATACACTGTGCACATTTTAGCCAGTTCTTTCACTCAGCGGGTGGCCTTGTTGGCACCCTTATGTCCGAGATCCTTCAATCTGAGAATCAAAGGAGCCAATCAGAAAAATTTGGGGCAAACAGTGGCAGCAACCAATCGGCTGAAGTCACTGTAGCTCAGTGATAGATTCTTATATCCACACTGTTTAGCGTGAATTATATAATATTTTTTTTTCATTCAGCCCGCAGGTTAAAAGAAAAAAATATTGCAGTGTATGGTCAGCTTTAGAACCAACTCAGAGCTCAAGAGCCTAATCTCTACATCAAATGCAAGCACCTCTTAATTGGATGCTGTGGCATCAGTGTTGAATCTCCAGCCGATTGCCTTTTTCCCCCTGACACTGTTGGGCTAGAGATGTCTTGCATTGCTGTACCACTTACGCAGCTAATTGTCATCTGCGTTTTTCAACACTTTAGGAATTAGTAGATGTCTAAAGTCTACAAGCATCTTAAAGGGAAAGTGTGGTACTTTGTATGTGATTAAACATTTTACATTATTACTGTAAAGCTTAAATGAAAATCATTTCTGTGCAGGTTTGTAAAGTCTCATTTTACTGGTTCTATGTATCCGGCAATGTAATCCGTGTAAACCGTGTGCAATAACTGAAGAGGTCATACAAAAATAAGGCAGCAGATAGTATTTTTATTTTGCTGACTTAGGCAGATGTCACACTTGCAATCATGCCGCTGTAGGTATTCAACAGCAGTAGGATTGCTGTGGAGGACACAGCGACTGGAAACGCTCACCTGCTTGTATGTTTTGCACTCTCTCCAAAGTGAAGCTGCCGAAAACGCAGCACACTAAGTTGCCGGCTTAAGAGTGAGACGCCTCGCTGCTGAGGATAGCGAGGAAGAGACGCATACAAAGCCGGTCAGTGCTTCTCGTGATCATGTCACTGGGATCATTTGTTGCTGTGTGAATTTGTGATGATGCTGCTGCGAGAATTTGCATCATCTTTACAGTGGTTATAAAGGGCCGTAACAACAAGCATATACCCCAGCTTTAAAGCATTGCTTAGTCATTTCTTTGGGAGCAATCTTGAGTGCAGTGGTTGGAGGTGTTTGTAATCTAAAAGGGATTTCCTGGTTATTTGTAAAATGTAATTAGGAGCAGTGACCAATCCTTCATCTTCTATGGAGGAAATTGAAGGATCAAAAGTACCATTCTCTACACGGGGCAGTAATCTTCTAGGGTCCTGGAGTATCTGGAATGTATCTTAAGGGCAGACACATAGGTTGCTGCCTTTCTTCCTAGAGAGAAATCTTCCTTTCTATAGCCACCCCAAGGCTTGCCAAACATGTTACAAACTGACCATATAGTCTCTATACAAACAACTGTAATATGAGGGCTTACCTAATCAATACAATCAATTTTTTATCCTATCGGACACTACATAGTTGTTTGGAGATCTATAGGAGATTATAGTAGAAAATATTTTGATTGTACTTTTGTTCTTATTATTTTTTCCTCCATTTTGTCAAATGTAATTATTGAAAAATGCTCTCAATAAAAACTTATTACGTTAAAAAAAAAAAAGAAAATATCTTGACATTGTGATTGTACTTTACTGTACCTTTCTATGTTAAACAGAAATCAGAGTCTACCTGGCAATATATATAATTGCAGTCCCAGCCCCTTCCCCGCCCTGTACTCACCGCTGGCTATGCCCACATATGGGAAAGCAGATGTACAATCCAGTCAGTGATATCTCACTGGAATAGGAAAAGGGCAGTATGACTTCATTGAAGGAAGCCGTGATAAAAGGAGCAGTTACACTTTATGTACAAGCGGAAGTTACACTTTATTCCCTCCTCCCCCTTTTAGATTGTAAGCCCTCATGGGCAGGGCCCTCCTTACCATCTTGTCTTGAATTGTATTGTGATTGTAATGTCTTCCTTATATTGTAAAGCGCTGCGCAAACTGTTGGCGCTATATAAATCCTATATAATAATAATAATGTACGAGGCGCAGTTACACTTGATGTAGGAGGCGCAGTTACGCTTGATGTACGAGGCGCAGTTACACTTGATGTAGGAGGCGCAGTTACGCTTGATGTACGAGGCGCAGTTACGCTTGATGTACGAGGCGCAGTTACGCTTGATGTATGAGGCGCAGTTACGCTTTATGTAGGATGCGCCGTTACGCTTTAAGTACGAGGCGCAGTTGCGCTTTATGTAGGAGGCGCAGTTGCGCTTTATGTAGGAGGCGCAGTTGCGCTTGATGTAGGAGGCGCAGTTGCGCTTGATGTAGGAGGCGCAGTTGCGCTTGATGTAGGAGGCGCAGTTGCGCTTGATGTAGGAGGCGCATTTGCGCTTGATGTAGGAGGGGCAGTTAAAATTTAGCACACAACAATCAATATTTCCTGAACATTTGCATATTCACATGAAGCTGACCTTCAAAACACTTCTTGTCCATCCAAAACCTTATTTTTTTTCTTTTGATAAAGTGCAGAAGTATTTTGAACAGCCGGATGGGCAGAAGTAAAGTCTATAGAACCCCAGTCAGTTTTTCTTGCTGTCATTTTCCTCAAGTTGCAGATTTTCCCTCACATCCTGTCTGGTGAAAATGTTGTCACTGACAGTGTGAGGGAAGATCTCAGATATGCGCAGTTAGAATTTTCTACTGACATTCTTACCAGAAATCTCATTAGAACATTTGATAACGCCATCACAGACCTGACGAATGTCATTTAAAATTTTGTTTGATTTTGGAATGAATGGAGTTTCCTGAATGAAAAGCACATTCGCTGTTGCAGTGTCCATCCTGCCTCTCTGATATTTGTCATCACTTACACATTAATTAGGAAGCGTGCACCTAACATGAAACAATAGATCTGATTAGAACTAAATGACTATCGGTTATAAACGCATTTGTATTCATGTCATATAACTAATTGCTGATTTTCTCACTGTGAAAATAAACCTGTTACTAGAATAAGATAGAATCTGTTTCTTCTGTTTGGTCTATTACTCATCGCAAGGCCTAATGCTCTTTAGATTAAACTGTATTGTTAAATTCTCATTTCATGTTCACGGTATGCTACACTGGACAACAGCCTATAATTGGAAGAAAAGCAATGAAATGTTTTATTTACAAGCCGAGATTTAGATGGCTAAACAAGACTTACAATTATTTTTCCAGTCATACCGTTGTCATGTTATTCTCCAGAAAAGCCAGTTGGAATAAAAACAAAACCATCACAGTAACAGTACAGTAGCTGCAACGGGGGATTTCCATAACCAGTGTCTTCTCTCTATAAGATTTACCATGTCCCTGAATCAGGTTAACCTTCTGATTCCTCTTCTACTACAGATGAGTCGGATTATCAGACCGAATATGAAGAGGAAGACATTTCAGACTTCAAAAGAGAGGATTATGCCAATATCCTGAGCAGTCAAGATGTTTCTGACAGTGTAAGTGGCACAGTCCAACAACAATTCCAAATATGCACATGGCATGGTGAGGAAATGAAAACACGTGTTGCCTCTGGTCAAAAGTTGCTTCAAACTTTACCACATACAAAAATATAGAAGTAAAAAATATAGAAGTTTCAGTTGGTCTTAGTCTTTTACACTAGGTGCCCAGACAACTGCCTGACCTCACATGCTGTCTTCACTTCAAGTTCTACTCAAGCTAGGTAAAACAAGATTAGGGGGCAAGTAAATGTCTTTCATACATAAGCCTGCACAGGTATTCACGATGAAATATTCAGATCCTTGCATAAGCCAAATGTGACTTGTTCTCTTTAAACTTGTCAGTACCTTAATTGTACTGAACAAACCATCTACTCTACAATGCAGGCTTCTAACTTTAGATGTCTTCTGAAGCTCCCTAGAAACTAGACAAATGTTATACCTTCCTAGTGTGACCAACTAACTTGCCCGAGCCCACTTCTTCCCATTCATCCATCACTATAATGAGCAGCCTCACTGCACAGTAGAAGTTGTCAGCACCAGTAGCATTACAATCACCATAGCGACCCACGCGGTCACTATGGGGTCTGGGGCAGAGGGGGGCCCAGTAAGGAGGAGGCCAGGGTCCGGCAGTGGAATAGGCCAGGGCCCAGTGGTAGCACTGGTGGAGAAGGCTGGGAGGTGGCGGTGGAGAAGGCCGGGGCCGAGCAGCGGGCGGCCCGGGGCTGACGGGTAAGAGCAGCGTATTGTGCAGGGAAAGAAACCCTGACCAGCCCACCTAAGACCCTGCAGAGCCCCCCATAGAGAGTCTATGGGGGGCTCTGCAGGGTCACACTCAGGTGGGCTGTGCGGGGTCTCAGGTGGAATTTATGGTGGGCTCTGCAGCACTGAGCGGCGGAGTGATCTGTTCTTCGTCTGTGACATCAGAGCCAGCAGGAGCAGAGCTGAAGAGAAGGAGATGGTGTAGGCACGGAAACGTGTTCTGGAAGTAGATAGTGTTTGTTGAAATAAATGATCCCTTTATACCCATTGCTTTGACTTGCATTTCATTTGCATTGTATTGGACAGGAATTCTAGTTTTGTTGTTTTGCATCACAAATAATGATTACAATAGCACTGCACTATATTACTTATTATATTCATCATTCGTATGTGGTTCTAAACAAAGAAATCTTTCCCTTTTAATCACCTGATACTGACAGACTTGTTGTTTTTAAATCCAGGACGAAGATGCAGAGATGCAAGTGCGTCAGCGCACGGTGGCGAGACGACAAGCATCTGACAAGATCCCGGAGAACAGCTGAGTGGTGAAAAGCTGGACAGACTTGCGGTAGCCTCTTCCTTTCATGTTCAGTCACACTGTGTGGTTAAAGGCGGTACACTTGAACCGTTAATCTCTCCGTAGTATGCTGCACCTGGCCGGGAGGACGATAGCTGCAATAGCACAGTGCTGATCATACCATAACATGGTCGGAGAGAACCAAAAAAATATCTTTTAAGCCTTAAGTTCATACATTTCATGCTTACTAGATGACATTGGTTTGGGCCTTACGCTCATATATTTCATGTTTAGTAGATGAATATAGTTTGAGAAAAATGAATCTATATATAAAAATTTAACAAGGTTATTCGGTAACAACCACTCCGTACAAAACTGTTCCAGCTATAGGGCATTTCTAATATCTGATCACCGACACTGTTTGGGTATCTTCAATACTGGAGCTCTTGCCTTGTGTTCTCCTTCCAGCAGTGTGCCTCTTACCCATGACGCCATTTTATCCACAGCTTTGGAGTTTGAGCCTCTATCTGAGGTGCCATTGGTCGCTGCTGGTACACAAAGTGACCTCATTCATTCAATGCTGTCACCCCCAAACCTTCATTGTAAAGGGACAGGTCAATCCTGCCCTATGTAATAACACACTTTATGGGAAGATACATAAAGGGAGATGAATTTAGCTTTGGGGTAAAAAGCATTTGTTATTATATATGTTCAATACAGCGTAAGTTACAGATTTCTCAGAGTTTTCCTTTTAACACCAATAAACACCAGTGTTCAAGTGCCTAGATTGCCAGCTCAGAGTCTTAATCCCAGTATCCCTCTGTAAGGCATTCAGAACAGGTTTATGCCACTAACTCTTTCCCTATTGATGGCTAGGATGGACATTTCAGGTGGAACACCAGCCAAAAATTGTACTTGCCTTTTAGAATCCTCTCTAGTGTTTTCAATGCTTCTAGTGTCTCCATTGGTCACTTCCTACTCCGGTGACACCCAGGGCAGTGACACTGTCAACAGTACCTAATGAATTCTCTATAGGAGCATATAGAGAAGAGAAGCAGGAAGTCCAGGTAACAGCAGTGTATTGGGTTTCTCCAGGACAAGAGGCTGAAAAAATCTGCCCAACAGGGACATTGGCAGCAAAAGAAACTGAGAGGACATCACATTTCCCTATATAGTAGAAGGCTGTTTTTTTGTACTAGGATGGGGTAACAGGTTACAGGGGAAACCTCCTAAAATAAATGTCCATTGATATATAATATAGATTAGTTGATTCTGCAAAAATCTGTAGAGGGGAATTGTGGGAAAACGGCTTAGGATACAATTGTCATATTTTAAACCAGTTCCATGAATTTTGCAACATATGCAGGTAATGGAATGTAGACAAGTCCTGCCCTCTCCACGATAGGGGTTTCTGTCCTCTGGGCTACTTAATATTTCTTTGCAGAAAATCTGATCAGCTTGGCTAGTAGTAGTCACAGTGATTTGGGCTTGTTCTGCAATGTTGAAGATATTTCTCTGCTTATCCAACAGCTTCTTCAGGATAAGTAGGGAGACATCTTTAATATTACAGAACACGGTCTGTTGAAGTGACAATCTATTAGGTATGCCATGTCATGGCTAAATGAAAACCTTCATAGATCAGTAGGGTTCAGTTAAATGTGGCTATCTAGTATTAGGTATGCCATGACATGGTAACCTTCATAGATCAGTAGGGTTCAGTTGAATGTGGCTATCTAGTATTAGGTATGCCATGATGTGGTAACCTTCATAGATCAGTAGGGTTCAGTTGAATGTGGCTATCTAGTATTAGGTATGCCATGACATGGTAACCTTCATAGATCAGTAGGGTTCAGTTGAATGTGACTATCTAGTATTAGGTATGCCATGACATGGTAACCTTCATAGATCAGTAGGGTTCAGTTGAATGTGACTATCTAGTATTAGGTATGCCATGACGTGGTAACCTTCATAGATCATCAGGGTTCAATTGAATGTAGCTATCTAGTATTAGGTATGACATGAGTTGGGTAAATGAAATCCTTGATAAATCCGTGTGGATAGACTTACGTTAGCTGACACACTCCAAAACATGAGCACAGTAAAAGAAAACTAAAAATCTTTCCACATCAAAACCCAAAACACAACAGACTGCTCACCAGCCCAAACAAATCATGACTAAAACTGGCCAACCATCCCGTTCTTAAAGTCTAACATAAATCTACTAGTGTCCTGGTGATTCAGGCATTGTAGGTAAGTTTTAACTGTGTTAAAATATCAAATAAACAATCAGGGTCATTTATACAGGAGTCAGTTATAAAACGGGGACAGATATCTACCATCTCACCAGAAAACTGGAGGCCAAAGCTGCTTTTATGTACTTCATACAACTCACATTTCTTCATTTCATAGCGGTTAGAATTTAGAAATGAGAATAGAGCATACAGCAAACCTACCATGAGAGAAATATGCAGGCTGGTATTTGCCGACCTCTCCTAAAAATACTGGTGGCTTGAATAATTTGAGTCACCGGCCAAGTACAGAGTTAAGGAATTCCTCCATGTTTCTCTTATAACAGGTGCACTTTAAGGCCAGGTCATCTCCTATGCACTAACCCCTGGTCCTTCACCTGCCAATTTGCACTCATTAACTTGATAAGATGGAAATATTTACTGTTATTTAACCTGCCCTTCACCAAATGTGAATTATAGCCCATCAGGTGTGTACACAGTCATCTCACTCTGTGCCTGCTGTCTTATCTCAGGTAGTGGCCTGCTGGTAAATAATACAGCCTGAGGAACAGGACTAAACCAGTAAAAACCCAGCAAGGGCTTATAGTAATGCCACAATGGTTAGCTATGAGTGCTCATGTAATTATTGGTACAAGTGTTGGTGCTTTATCAGTAATTATATTTTGTAGAGAAGCAAGTCCAGCATCCACCTAAATGGTGGTGGCGATCCCCTTTCCCGCTTCAAGAGTGTCCATTTCCAAACCCACAACAACCACCCAGCTTATTGACTGCGGAATATAGAGTGGGTCATAAGACTTGGCTCCTGATAATCAACCAACAAAATGGCCTGCTCACTGGGTGGTTCAGTACTATGAAGTTCGATTTGCTTATGATCAACAATATGGAAGCCCCCAGCACTGGGGAAGTGCCACAGCTTAACTAATCAAACTGAGCAACAGATACCTGGTACATGACAGAGCAGCTATCTTGTTGGTGTCCAGTCTGGATTTGGGAACAACCATTCCATGCTGTACATGGGGTACTCCCCACTCTATGCAAAGTACTTGGATTTTTCAGGCTCCCTCCCGGCCAAAGTGGGACGTAAAGAGGCACTCCAGTCTACGCCAATATTCAGCATTATAGGCTGCGCACTTTAAAGGTTTTGATTATTCCTTAGCTAGCCGTTAGCATGTTACTGTTCTCTGGACATAACTTTTTCTCCAAAAGTATGAAAGAGCATTGACACACATTCACCATAGAGACCTGCAGTCAGCTATGGTAATAAGTGTATGCTCTGTGCATGAGTCACTGAAGATAAACGGGCTCAGATGAGAACAGATGCAGCGACATACACTCTTATGCTGTCCATACATGCAGTTCATGCAAATGGTATAATATATGCTTGACAGCCTTCATTCACCACACGTGATTTAAGCCTTTTATGATTTACTGGGCATCAAACCATGGTTCTGATAATATGATTCAGCGCTCGTATGCTTAAGCCCATGACAGCTCTTTGGTGAGGCAGCCCAGGACCCATATAGCCAGCAATGTATATGAATACTGTCTTTCTTCAGCTAGTAGGAGACTGTGGATTTCCCTGCGTGTTGTGGATCACCTCTTCGGTCCTGTTATTCTGCTTCTCCGGTCTTCTACCCTCGTGTTAACATTGTGGTAACTTCGACAGATTTTATTTTGCCAAATCCAGCACTACAGTCAATAGGCCAAATCGAGGATGGGATTATCCAGCAGGCAGTGCTCACAGTGCTGGTGACATGTCTGGCTGGGGGAATTATAATTTACAGGGATGTATGGTAGGAAATGTGGATATCATATATATATGTACTAACATATTTTATAAAAAATAAAAGGCCTTTGAAGATGAAACGTTGTCCTTTTGAGTTCTTTCTTCTAGCGAACATAAGGTGATACAACATGACACAAATGTGACTCAGAGTTCCACAAGTCCACTGTGGACATTTCCAGTTGTAAAGGCAGCAGAATTAGGACATTTATAGGAAACTTGGGGTCAACAAAGGTAATGCCAGCCATAGTTTTGGATAGAGTGGGGAAGACTAAAAGTACCTGTTAGGTTTTTATTTATTTTTATTGTCCTCCATTTCCTGTCCCTGTAACGCCATACAAGAAATAAGAGGAGTGGTGCCACTGGGACAGGAAGGCACAGACAGCAATAAGGACCCAATTACATCTGTGCGCTGTGTCAATGCCCATGTACAATTAAGGTAAACCATATGAAAATCAATGGGATTTTGATGCACCAAATATTGGACCTGTCACGAACCTTTTGCTGCAACGCACTGGTGCGTTGTAACATCCGTTGAGCAACACCTGCATTCCCACAATGCATAGATGTAAATCAGCCCTCAAATATTGTGTTCTAACCGTTCCCATCTCTACTAAAATGCTTTTTTTTCCAGTGTCCGCTTGAAGAGACATTTCCTATACTGAGAAGAAATCTACCCAAGAGGGACACGAATAAAACCTGACTGTGAATCTTCTCTACCTTACCAAAGCAAAATCTGTTTGTCACTGGTGCTGGGTTTTAAAGAAGTCACAGAGTTTTATCCACCTTGTTTGCATTTTGTTTTCCATGTTAATTACTATTTATCACACATTCCGGTACTTGTTACAGCATCTTTTGTGGGATCCCATCACATCTCCGGAGATGTCTGGAGTGCAATTTTTGGTTATCCTGGAATTCTTCTTTATAGGTTTCCTTCCTGTGGCTCTGGCAGAAAGTTTTCTCAGCATTCAGAAGTTTTAGTCCTTCTTACCTCTGAGCAGAAATTGTATTTGTGGCTCAATAAATGAAGCTGAGCCAGGCAGGAGGCTGAGAATGAGTAATGAGAAGTAATTCCCCCATTTAAATTCTCATTCTCCACAGCTTCCCTTCTAAACCGTTTACCAATAGTGGCTAATTCTATTCCCAAAATAAACTCCGAGCTGAATCCATTCCAGAGCAGGAACACTCTGTGTGTGACTTTCTCGAATATATTCCACCACAATCAAGGTTTAATTGTCAATATTGCTCAGCACAAAGCTGTATATTACATTTGGGAAAAGTCTTATCTGTGTCACACCCAAAGTCTTCACCACCCTCCAGGCTGA